TACAGGAACTTCCTCGTCAGTTGCGATGGTGAGTAACCATGGAAAGTATTTATGTGACATTTTGCCTACCTACTTTTTGAGAGGATTTTTCTTTTCTTTTATAGATTAATATCCTTTCAGTCTGAAAGCTATTCATCTGTAAAATTAAAAAGAAAGCAAAATTGAAATGAAATATAGCCATGTAGTGTTGTATTGTTACGTTGCTTCTGTCATCAATGTTTTACGGTCTCATGTTTCAATATTGTTTCCTTTGTCAGTGTTGTTTCTCTTTTCTGTCCTTACTCTCTTATTATTGACCAGGGGTTTCTCATGTCACTATCACACTGCAATATCTTTGAAGAACGGTTGGTGAGGGAATGCTGTATGCAACGTGGAATGCACAATTATTTCGTCAAGTTTTAAAGAAGAAAACAATGAATCATTGGAATCCAGGTCGGTAAAACATAGCCGCAGCGTTAACCAGCGCCTGGTTTCCACTCAACAAACACACTGTGAATTTCAAGGCTGATTTACTTGTTGTGCAACTTGCACGATGAGCCTTCCTCCCTCGTCAGATGCTGAACGAGAAACTTAATATAGAAAGAAATCTATATGATCGTCATTATTGATATTAATATCCGTTTTTGATTTCTCAGATATGAGACGTATGGATTTAAATCAATTAAAGAAATGTGTGTTTTTATGTATGCACACATACACACACACATATATATATGGGTGTGTGTGTGAGAGAGAGTGTGCGTGTGTGTGTGTGTGAGTGTGCGTGTGTGTGTGTGTGAGTGTATGTGTGTGTGTGTGCGTGTGTGTTTGTGTGTGCATGTGTGTGTGCGTGTGTGTATTTGTGTGTGTTTTGCAAGTATGAAACGTACCTTCACTGTCTTCCGTCCCTTCTGGCGATGGACCTGCAACGGGAAATTCATACGAAACACTTCATTTCAGAAATACATTGCGAAGTGCAACACATAATATTTAGTTTACGGGTCTTTGACTCCTGTGGAATAAAACGCACAGCTAAAATGCAGACTTCAGCATATATCACTGTGTGGCATCATCTCGTTGACTAAAATGTTTATTATTCATATCGCGTGATTGTGCTAATCGAGCTGATTAAAAGAAAAAGATGATATGGAGTCCCAATGGTACTAACAATACTTATGATAATAAGGAACAGACTAAAAGAATGTAATGTCTTACTTGCCTGGTGCTATATTACCTACTAGTTTATTCATTTACTGATTTATCTATCCTTTTACTATCAACAGACAATTATATTTGCTAGTAACTATCTATCAATACATATTTTTTTCTTTCAATATATATATATACATTATAGACACACACACACACACACATATATATAGAGAAAGAGAGAGAGAGACAGACAGACAGACAGACAGACAGACAGAGACAGAGAGGGGCAGATAGATGGACAGGAAAGTAACAAGCGCGATTTCTCGTATTTTCCTTACACTTTGGATCACCCTCTCCCGTTTGTTTCCAATCGCCACAGAGGCAGATGTAAGCCTTACATCCCTTGTAGATCTTCTCATGATGTTTGTAATGACGTCCCATGTGCGGGCAACCTATAGAAATTACGGTGCTGTGTTTATCTTGAAGACAGGAATTATGTGATGGACAGCCGTAGATATTCATTAGCTCTTCTTTTTAAGACAGTGTGTTTCTACTCACATGACGGAACAGTCTGATTCGTCTTCATCCATCGGCCAAGCTTACAACGATAGAAATAACAGTCTTGTTCTCTTCTGAATCCCTCTTCATATTCTTGTGAGCCGTATTCACAACCTGGAATATAGCCACCGTTACATTTTCCTCTGCATATTTCATTTGTACAATTGAACCTGTCAGAATGTGAAAAAAGGATATACTTGTAAGCACACGCGTAGCTAGGTCTTGACACAATTAGAATTCACAGTCAGCACAGTAAAGGAAAGTTAGATTTGCCTTCCTTAGCGACTTCCTCTTCAATGAGTCGGAGCGCGTAGCCTGTGACGGGCCCGTCCAGCCACGCAGAGATCTCATCCGGGTCGTCGTCTGTGTTTTGGCTCACCAAGCACAGGTCGAAAGCGCACGCCTCTGTATCGGCCGATGGAGGAGGATGACTGAATTAGTTGGCATTAACGATAAATGTAATATATATATATATATATATATATATATATATATATATATATATATATATATATATATATATATATATGTATACATATGTATATATACATGTATATATACATATATGTATACACAAACACGCACACACATATATATATATGTGTGTATATATATATATATATATATATATATATATATATATATATATATATATATATATATGTATATATATATATATGAATATATATGTGTGTACATATATTATATATATGTATATATATCATATATGTATACATATACATATATATATGTATGTATGCAATTATACGCTTGATAAGGCAGTTGAGAATTTCTATTTCATCTTTCTGCAAATTACCCATGCCAGAGATGTCAAACAATCCATTTCAACAAGCGAGACTAGATCACCTATGAGATTCGAGCCTTGTGCGAATGAGATGTTGTTACCGTTCACCTCAAGTCCAAATATTACGCTCTTGCACTTCTCCGTGTATTCGGCCGTTTTGGTGCTGTTCTGCTTGCACAGACTTGTTGCCTTAGACGGGAGATGCAGGAAAGAACATGGTAAGGGACATAGAATAAGATAAGAATAATATAAGGATACAAATCAGAATAAGATGGAGATAAAAATGCAGAACAGGAAACGAATGGGATAATAACATAAGATAGAGCAACACGAAAACAAAATTAAGAAAAGGAAAGACATATACCTCGAAACAGAAGACAAAACGGGTATAAGAAGAATTGCATAATAAAAAAATAAGATGACAAAAAAAAATAATAATAATGGCAAAGCAAAGGGCTCACCTCCCTCGACGGAGTACTGGGACATTGGGCTTTCTTCTGCTCGGCGGTCTGGGGAGATTCAGGAGTTGTTAAAAGCAATAGCTCTATATCTATATATCTACTTATGTAGATAGACAGATATGCACACGCACAAACACACACATTCACACACACACATATATATGTATGTGTATATATATATAATTATATATATATATATATATATATATATATATATATATATATATATATATATATATATACATATAAATGTGTGTGTTTGTGTGTCTTTTATTACGCAGTGAAATTGCCCGGGACCTCATTTGTGAAACATGTGAAGTAAGTCCCATTAGAAATATTGCTTGTCATTGAATAAACATTTCATTTGTTCAGAGATCAGTGCTGTTGTTGTTGTCATTATTATAAAAAAAAATCAGTGCAGCGTAACGACCAATGTACTCACCAACCAAACATTAGAAAATGAAGGTATGGAATACGGGCTTAGCGAAAATGTTTCGTTCTTACGGTCCGTAAAGTCATCCATCATGTTGTATGTCCCGTCAAAGAAACCGCAGAGACCGTAATAAGGTGCCGTGCTTGGGTAGGACCACATGAACTGGTGGTACTCGCACACCTCCATCTGTTGGTGAGTGAGAGTTATCCCTCTCTCTATCTGTCTATCTACCTATCAATATATCTACCTATCGATCTATCTATCTGGCTATCTTTCTATCTATTTATCTATCTGTCTATCTATCTATCTGACTATTTTTTTTTTTTTTTTTTTTAAGATTCGCGAAGCATAGCCTCGCCCGGGCTAATATCTGACTATCTCTGACAATCTATATCTACACACACACACACACACACACACACACACACACACACACACACATATATATATATATATATATATATATATATATATATATATATATATATATATATATATGCATATATACATATACATATGCATATCCAGATATACATACACACACACACACACACACACACGCACATATATATACATATATATACATATATGCGCGTGTATGTGTGTATGTTGTGCGTGTGTGTGTGTGTGTGTGTGTGTGTGTGTGTGTGTGTGTGTGTATGTGTGTGTGTGTGTGTGTGTGTGTGTGTGTGTGTGTGTGTGTGTGTGTGTGTGTGTGTCTGTGTTTGTGTGTGTGTGTCTGTCGTAGATTGATCTTGCGTGTTCTTTCTCCTTTGTCATGGGGAGAGGCGGTGCCATGCTTCTGTGGCAAAATGGACTATGAGTGAGCGGTATATTTATCAGCGAGACCCTCTGTTGCCATTTGTGTGTGTGTATGTGTGTGTGTGTCTGGGTGTGTCTGTGTGTGGGTGTGTACGTCTGTATGCATCTACCTTTTTCTACATATATACAGTATATCTCTATCTAGATATGTCCACATGCTGCCACTGCTCCGAATAAGTTTATCTCACCGCCATGCCACTCGCGCCCACGAGACGAATGCACGAATCACCGAAGCGCCACGCCAGGACGGAGTTCCAGAGCACTATGCCCACTGTGCCCGCAGGTATCATGTGCGGATCGTCGTCCCGATAAACCTTGTTAATATACAAATAAAGAGAAAAGAAACTTTAATTAGTATATCCACGCACGCACGAACACACGACACACACACATGAAAATTTATGCCTCGGGTTCCAGTGACCTGGAGAGCCGGCTGGTCACTCGCGAGGGATGAGATGGTGAGCCCCGTGTGTTTGTAACAGAGACAGTAGTCTAATTTCTTCAAGATTTTATTACGGGATCAAGGATAGAGGTTATCGCTGAGGTGTTTTGGTTTGTCAAGATCTTTCTTTTCCAGCTTTTGTGTGTTAAGTAAAGGCTTAAAGAGACCATGCCTTGTGACACTTTTCATTTAAAAAGTAGTTCAGAGTGACCTCGATATAAATGGACTAGAAGCTTAGTATGGTCACTACCGGATGAAGCCTTTGACTGCTGGCATCGTACCGGTCTGAGGAAGGCCAGCAAGTTTTCGGAGTTAGAAAAGCTATACGATGGCATCCCAGACACAATCCCGGTCCCGGAGCCACCTCTGGTCGCTATCCTCCCGCTATGGGTTTATGGCAGTGACACTCCTCTCGGGTTGGCACGTGTAGGCTGGTTTCAGATCCTTTTTAATGATCTTAAAACAGTATGAAAATTATTATCAAACTTCTGAGAATATCATGGACTATAGATCATCACAGCCAGCGAAAAGAATGCAGGACCTGGGCCAAGGACACTCCAGGTCTGGCTCCCCTAGTTCTCCCGTCGGCGCGCCCCGACCTGGCCGAAATGGCGATGATCCCGGACCCGAATCAGGACCTAAATTCAGTCGAGGCCTGCTGAACCATGGCTTAATGGAGCCCAATTTCCGCCCTTCCAGCGCACAGTTCAGTTTCTGAAAGGGGCATCTGTATCTTCCGTTGTGTAGTTTCCTTATTGCAGGGAATCGCAACTGTATTATTACGTGGCCCTGTAAATATTCCAGAATATCTCACTTATCAGACAAGACTCTCAGTTCTGTGGTAAGTAAATGAAGAATCTTGAGAAGAAACATGATATTTCATTCCATTTTCTTCAAGTAGCCTTGGCCTAAACGAAGCAGAATAAAAGGAAATTCTAGGTACCAAAGATCAATAACTGTGATCACAGATTGCTGAAAATTAGAAAGCGTTTTCAGTAGACAGCAGTAGTACATACATCCATACAATTATACAAAGACACCTATATGAATATATATGATATGAATATATAAGGTAAGAACCTCTACACACGCATCTTTATATTGACTTATAAATAATTCTTTTTTTATATTCAGATATGCACACACATATTTAGGGCCGAGAACAAGAAGGGCTTATGTCCTGAAAGTCAATGTTGAGAAAAACACATTTGAAAGTTTGCTCCGTAAATTGAAAATCAGCCAATAATAATTCATGAAATGTAGTTTTTCTTGTGACCAATCAAACTGTGCTGCATTGATATCACCCTCTTAAAGACATTTTGTGCATAACGAATATTTTCTTAACGAAAAATAATATATGTTTTTTTTTTTTTCATTTCAAGAATGTATTTTTTGCTGCTTAATTGATAAATTATAAGAAATTAATTTCTGTAGCTCTTAAAAAACATTCATCCTATTTCGATTTCTATAGTTTTTCTATCATTTTATGGCCTATAAATGTTAATCAATAAAGTTCTTTTGATTATCTTTTCTTTTTTTTGCCTTCCCGTAACTGCAAAATCTGAAAATGGCACATTGACTTTAAGGAAAATATAGAATAGTAAAAGCGGCCAACCTGAAGTTTTCCGTGGCCATGTCTTCAAACTGCAGCCATTTGTTGCAATCAGACACGCAGTGAGATATAGGATTTTCAGTGAATTGGATTTCAAAGTAATGCTTGTGTGGCGCCCCTAATGCACTGATGACATTAGCCTTCATAACATTTCCAGTTCGGCAGTAAGGCTATTTCAGAATTTCTATTTTTGAACACCGGCCCTTCTAGCTCTCCGCCTTAAATATATAAACTGAGAAGGGAAAAGTCAGTCCAACCGTGTATATATGAGGAACATGTAACCCATCCCTTCCTATTTCCAAGATGACTTCAGGGCCGTCCCGGAAGAAGGTAGAGCCGACACAGGAGGCTACTCCATTACACTCTCTGACGGGGAGAGAAACCTTTGTATAATATCATACTTTTATCAGCACTTTGAAAATTGATTATCCTCTCACGTTCGAATGTGATTGCTTTTCCAGTTTGGTCATATGGCAATTGACAATTCGTGACGTCACCAATGCTATCACATTACAAAAGTATTATAAATGAGATATTCAAGGCATTTTACCGCCTTGATATGTAATGGTTACTTTGATCAGTGTCCTTTCAGCTTATTCCAAACATTAAGATATACTGAGCTTCGCAATGTCAAAGCTATACATTTCTGTAAGATATGCAACAGGGATTGCAGAATTCCACATCTGAATAATATTCATGAACAAGTATGCACACCAACCACCGGGTAATTATAGTGACCAAATATGATAATCAGCGGAGTTGTACGTCTCTTTGATGTCGGATGGTTGATGCTGAGAAAAGGAGAATTGTTGGATGGTTTAGATGAAGGAAGAGTGGTTGTCAAGAAGAGTCGGAGCAGAGGAACTAGAATGTCTAATAAAGAAGAGGGAAGAAAAAGTTACTTAACAAAGCAAGTGAAAATAAATTTTACCTGAAATTGGCAAAGACAGCGACGTCTGGGTAATAGCTGGTTCCCTTTTGAACGAGAGAATAGTTGCATGCTATTTGCAAGCCGCTGTAGTAGTAACCATCCGAGGTCTCAATATGAGGATCCAGGTACACCTTACATTTCCGACCTGTCAAGCGGTAACCTCAGTTATATCAAGTTTGTCAACAACACCACTAATCTTGTTTTTCCAAGGTCGTTACGTTGATTTTTTTTATTTTTTTTATTTTCTTTTTTTTATAATGGGAGAATGCGATTGTTGGTGCTATCACTGTCCAGAAAAAAAATTATAATGCCATCATTGAAGGTAATACTATTTAAGTCTACTTAACAAAACATCGCTCGTATGCTTACAAAGAGGGTTAATTCTGCCTGTAGGTACCCAGTTGCTACCTTCACAGCGAATGCCAATGCACTGATTCATTAGGTAGGCACCGTCATTGTACATGCTGCCATTGAAGTAACAACCTGCAATTGGTGAAGTGTGAGCAAGCAAAGTAAAAATGTAAAGATAACACAGACGAGAGACAGAGAAAAAAGGGAATAAAAGAAACAGAAGAACAGAGAACGAATATAATGTACAAAGGAACAGGGGCTGGATACAATGCACAAGGAAATACGGAATGGGTAGTGTACAATGGAACAGGGAAAGATGCAGTAAACAAAGGAATAAGGAATGGGTGCAATGTACCATACAGCCATTTTCCGATTTCCAATAAAACTAACCTGGTCCTGCGAGACCGGGGCATTCCGTCACTGAAAATGGAAACAGTTATCATAGACTAAATAAATAGCTACAGCTTTATTCATCAGGCATAATAACACATTGAATAGCATATTAAATTGAATATATATATGTGTGTGTGTATGCGTGTGTGTGTGTGTGTGTGTGTGTGTGTGTGTGTGTGTGTGTGTGTGTGTGTGTGTGTGTGTGTGTGTGTGTGCGCCATATATCTTCTTCCAAGTGTATACTCACAATAATTGCCGGATACATGATTCAAGGCGACCGCAATGAGCAAACAAATTCTCACTATTAGCTCAGCCATTCTGAAAAGATAATGAATATGTATAACCACATACATCTATATCTATCTATCTATCTGTCTATTTACATATATAATTATACAAACACACACGCACACACACTCATATATATATATATATATATATATATATATATATATATATATATATATATATATATATATATATATATACATATATATATATATCATATATATGGAGTGACCTGGGTTCGAGTCCAGGTCAGGGAAGGTTGTTATTTATCGATATCAATGCGGTATTGCATTATTCCATCTTTAATGTATGTGTGTATATATACATACACGTGTATTTACATATATATGTATATATACATATATATGCATATATACATATAAATGTATATATACATATATATGTGTATATAAACATATATATGTATATATATTCATATATATGTATGTATAAATTTATATACATATGTATACATATACATATAAATATACACATTTATACATATATGAATATATATATATATATTATATAAATTATATGTATGCAGATAAAAATATATATTCATATATGTATACATATATATAGTATGTATGTATATATACATATGAATATATACATATGTATATATACATATGTACTATATATGTATGTATACATATATACTAAATGTATATATACATATATATGTATATATAAATATATATATGTATATATATTCATATATATGTATGTATAAATTTATATACATATGTATACATATACATATAAATATACACATTTATACATATATGAATATATATATATTATATAAATTATATGTATGCAGATAAAAATATATATTCATATATGTATACATATATATAGTATGTATAACTATGCATACGTCATATTTACTCATTGTACATATGTGTATCTTTATGAGTAATTTGTGTTCATGTTTTCCTACATATCATGAAACTTAAGTGGCAGCAGAAGCAGCGTATTCCTAATCCTTTTCCAAAACGTTATACAGGAGTTGCAGTTCGTTCAATCTGGATGTATATGAGGCAGGCAGAGCATTTTCACGGTCGATGATTGATAATTATATTTGACTTGAGTTTGAGTATCGCTATAGCTTCTTCAGTTTAAAGTTTTCAATAATTTGTAATGTCGTTTCTCATATATCATTGATTATAAAAAAAATATATAAGTGATCGGAGAGTTAAGTCTGTAGTTGGATTAGTTATTTCTTTTGAAACAAGTCTAGTTGGAATTTGACACACAATTTGAGTAATTGCACATGTCTCTTCAATAATCTATTTACCGTTCATCAACTCTTTTTTTGTGATCCAAAGACTGCATTAAAATCGGTATAAGTGATTTGATTTTTTATCGTGGTAGAATCTGCACGGAAGACTCTCCCGCCACTGGTTATGGAGTGGATATTGGATGCCTGCCAATTCTTTCATTCAGAAAATTACCTTGGCTGTTTTTGCTTCAGAGACCCAATTGCCATTTTTTTTAAATCTTTGTTAAATGAACGAAATGATGCGGTTGGTGTGTGTAAAAATATGAGTATAAAGGTGTTTCCCCATATATTGCATCTTCATTCTAATTTGAAGAAGTGGTAAAAAGAAGAAAGGTGAAGAAGTGTTATTAAATGAAAGGCAATAAGTAGATGAAGAGCACAGGGGAAAATAAAGCGAACGAGGAAAAAGAAAGAACATAAGGAATAATATGAATTTAACGATAACCTGAAAAATCCATAATAACACTCAGGCTTAATAAAAACAACATAAGAACGGCGGAATCCAATACAAACAATAAAGATGAACAAGAAATAATAACAAATAGTCAATGATAATCGTAAAAATAATAAAGGTCAGAAGGAATATAAATTTCACCTCTCCAGCTAGCCTCTGCCGTGGAAGAAAACGTCCAAGCCTGGGAAAGCGGGCAGATCTGCTCGTCTGAACGACCTCACTGCTCTGCGATGGACGAACGCCGAGTGAGGCAGCGAAGGACTGAATAAGAAGGACGCATGGGCAGGCTAATATTATCTGTTATACAATCGAAGTAAACAGGTGTTTGTGTTTACGTGCTTGCTTTCGGAAAGAGAACGTAAAAGAAGAGATACGATCAAACAACTAATGTTATGCTTCGTATACACAAAATTATTTTTTTCTTATTCTTACGCAACTCTTGACTATGCAAGACGATTTACGGATAAGTGATAAGTATGCGTGTGAGTATATATATGTATATATATGTATATATATATATATATATATATATATATATATATATATATATATATATATGTGTGTGTGTATGTGTGTGTGTGTGTGTGTGTGTGTGTGTATGTTTGTATGAATGTAAATATATATATATATATATATATATATATATATATATATATATATATATATATAACATATATAAATATATTATATCTATATGTATATACATATAATGTACATACAACACAATCGCAAACACGCGCGCACACACACACACACACACACATATATGTTGCAAGACAGTATAGATGACCTCTTCTCCAAAGTTCATACCTTTAATCTGAACATTTATTTATCGAATAACAAAACGTATATTCTTATCGCAGTTTCCATGTGTCTGTGATGAAAACTGCTGTTTATCAACGCCACCTACCTCTTATATAAATTGGTTAGGGAATAGGCTTGACAGCTACGTGATGTATCTCTCGGGGACCGACCGGGGAGGGAGGAGGAAGGATATATATAGAGTGTATATATATAGATATACATATATGTGTGTGTGTGTGTGTGTGTGTGTGTGTGTGTGTGTGTGTGTGTGTGTGTGTGTGTGTGTGTGTGTACATATATATATATATATATATATATATATATATATATATATATATATATATATATATATGTGTGTGTGTGTGTGTGTGTGTGTGTGTGTGTGTGTGTGTACATATATATATATATATATATATATATATATATATATATATATATATATGTATATATATATATTTGTGTATATATATGCACACACACATACACACACACACATACACACACACACACACACACACACACACACACACACACACACACACACACACATATATATATATATATTATATATATATATATATATATATATATATATATATATATATATATATATACATATATGTGTGTGTGTGTGTGTGTATACACACACACACACATACACACACACACACACACACACACACACATATATATAGATGTATATGTATATATATACATATACATATATATACATATATATATATATATATATATATATATATATATATATATGTATATATATATATATATATATGTATATATATGTATATGCATATATATACATATACATATATATATATGTGTGTGTGTGTGTGTGTGTGTGTGTGTGTGTGTGTGTGTACACACACACACACACACACATATATGTATATATATATATATATATATATATATATATATATATATATATATATATATATAATATATATATATATATATATATATATATATATATATATGTGTGTGTGTGTGTGTGTGTGTGTGTGTGTATGTGTGTGTGTGTGTGTGTGTGTGTGTGTGTGTGTGTGTGTGTGTGTGTGTGTGTGTGTGTGTGTGCATATATATACACAAATATATATATATATATATATATGCACACACACACACACACACACACACACACACACACACACACACACACACACACACACACATATATATATATGGTTTTCGTGACGGTTTAACGTCACGAAAACTCCCTTTCTTGATCAAGGGCTAGGACGGGCCTGCCCTATGAAGGACAGGCAGGAATTTGTTGGTGGATGCCCTTCCTAACCTCGGACCATGGCCGGGAATCGAACCCGGACCTTCGGCCCACAGCCGCGCGCGTTCCCACTGTACCACGGCGGCCCCATATATCAATATATATATATATATGCCTTTAGTCTGAACATTTGTTTACTGAATAACAAGACCGATACTCTTAGTGCAATTTACATGGCTTTGTGAATGAAAACTGCTTTTTATCAATGCTACCTACCTCTTGTATAGATTGGTTAGGGAATATGCTTGATAGTGCGTGATGCATCACACGGTGACCGACCGGGGAGGTGGGTATATATATATACATACTTACATATATATATATATGTGTGTGTGTGTGTGTGTGTGTGTGTGTGTGTGTGTGTGTGTGTGTGTGTGTGTGTGTGTGTATTATGAAGAGGTAAGACTAAGACAGTAGTGAAGAACTTCATATTTATTAAACGTTTCAGAGGTGAACATTAGGTCTCCATCATTAGTAAAACTGTCAAAAGCATCAATGGAAAAGTCAGTTGGACAATTAAGAATATGGATATATATAGGTTCTGAACAATTTGCAAAAGCGTAAAAATAGCAAAGAACAGATATATACAAAGGCATAATGAAGTCATATAATACGATATACAATGAAAAATAACGTATATACAAGAGAAAACTATAAACAACCAAAAACAGGTAAACTAACCAAAAGTGAGTGTTGGTGAGAGGGAAGGACTATTGGGTGAATAAGGTTGTTGTGTTGTTTAGTTCTGGTATCATCTTCTGTATGTGTAGGGATTCGGAGATGATAAGGTCTGGACGGGCGGAATGGGAAGATAAAATACTGAAGTCTGTGTAGGAGAAAGGGTGTGAGTGGAGTAGAGAGTGTTCTCTTATTGCCGAGAAAGATGGTTTGTTCACCGGAAGGCCAGTCCTGAAGGATTTGCCTTTGTGTTCTTGGATGCGGTGTCGTAACCATCGTGAGGTAGATCCCACGTACCGAGCTTGGCAGCAAGGACAGGTAAATAAATACACTACGTTAGAACACAAGTCAGAGTTACATCTCAGAGGTTGTTTAAAAAAAAATGGCTATATTGTTAGTGTTAGTGAATTCAAAAGTGAATTTGATTTGAGGGTAATTATTCAGTAATAGAGATTTTAGTTGCTTCCTGATTTCAAAGCTTAAACTGCCCATATACGGTA